CTTTTTGTTTTGTTTTATTTAATAAACGTTTGAACTTTCCTACTGACTGTCTCGCCTTGAATACTGGGTCCATCTGTCCTCGGTTCATGACACTATGAAAGGCTTGAAGTTTTACTCTTGCATTGCGTTTTCTCAAATAAAGATTATCTTAACAATAGACCTGACTAGTCTGTTTTGCCTCTTAACAGACTGAAACTTGACTAAGGACATATCTTCTTTGAATCAAGTGTTTAGATCTGGAGCAAAGTCTTAGCTCTCCTTGTTGTGGTACTTGTAAACAAGCTGCACAGAGAAAGTTGGGGGAGGGCAGCATGAAGATAGTTGACAATATGCTTTCATTTAGCCTGCAGGTATGGAAAATGTTGGTCTTAAAGACTCCCAAGAATGATATTAAAAACACTTGCTTTAGGATAAATATCGTTATATCTTCCAGCCGTGGACACAGAAGGACTTTCGGTCTATGGATTGAATGTAAGTTTACTTAAACTATTACATAACAACAAATTCTGTATTAACCTGGACATGGCTAAAACCTAAGTGATGGTCTTTGGTTTCATGAGAAATAAAAAAAAAAAAAAACATCAGCCAGGCTCACTTCATGAGGAGGACATCAAGAAGATGCACACTTAAAAATACTTGGGGATTCCAGTGGGTAACAGGCTGGAGTGATTCACTAGCTCCTTTTTTAAAAAGGGGCAGTCACCCGTTTATCCTATGGATCTTGAGGTCATTAGATGCGTGTGTAGCATTGCTGATGATGCACTTTGTTATATAGCATAAGTGTTAAGGAACTCTAAGTGGCTGCACAAGCTGGATAAAAGGACCCAGTGCTGGTAAGGAGGTTGAAGCTGTAAGCTATGTATCATAGCTAGGTATACTGATAAAACTGAAGGGCTTTTTGAAAAACCATAGACTCCCTAAGTTCTCTGTTTTCCGGGTCCTGGCGACCAGAAAACAAGCAGCTAATTAATGTGGCTAAATTCCTATGTATGTTCTTCTGTAATTGAACTCATTCCAAAGAATTTGCATAAGCACTCTGTACAATTCAAATGGAATATGCTTAGGATGATCAACCTCCATGCTGCTTCAGACGTCTTCAGAAAAACTGAGCAAAATTAGGGTTGCCTCCCATTTAAGCTTTTTATTGTCAGGTAACAGCACAAAGACATACAACCATGCACACACAGACACCTAAGGACAAAATTAAGAGACACTAAACAGTCATGATTTTGGACTGTGGGAGGAAGCCAGAGTACCCAGATAGACCCCACTCAAGCATTTTTTTTATTATTTCATTTGACATTTATTGCATGACATAAGTATTTGATACATTAGAAAAACAATACCCAATATTTGATTTAGAAAATGTTTTCAATTCAAATATCAGATGTTTCCTGTAGTACTTGACAAGGTTTGGATACTCAGCATGGGTTTTGGACTATTCGTCCATACACATCCTCCACATACTTCTGGTTTCAGGGCTTCAGCTGACAAATATGGACCTTTAGTTCGATCAAAATATTTATTTTCTCTTGAGTTCACATGCTTAGCCACTCCAGCACCTTGAGATGCTCTTAAACCCTTGGTTCAGCTGTTTTTGGAAGCATTGCATAAGCCCTGCGGTGCAACTGCACCTTCTAAGCTGATTGCAACTTTATATTCTGAGCTGTGTGACCGCTCTCCTGGAAGCTGCTGCTTCCACAATGCATGCTTGGACACCTGTCAATCCCAAGAATGGACAA